TTTTTGCACATGTCGAGGAGCGTGTCAGGTTACATTTCACTGTGTGTTATACTTGTATAACTATGCATGTGACAAATAAAGAACTGGCTGCTCCAGTCTGCATTCCCTATACCCTTGGACAAGATAGTAACCCAAAGTTCCTCTACGATTCATCCATCGGAGTCTGAATGTGTGTGAATGTTAGATAGAAAACACTTATGTAAAAAAACATTTACTGATACTCAAAGCTAGTTTGGTAAGTAGTCGTCTACATGGGATCCACATTGGAGTTACCTCTCTGCTACTCCGTTGACAGCAGTTAGCATCCCACAAGACAGACCCAAGCTTCAAAAGCTTGAGAGTCCCCTGCCTTTATGGGTGGTGTGTTCACTTGTACTCCTGTCCGAGAGCCCTCAGCACACTGATATATGGAGTTGGGTCACAAATGTATTGTTTAGCACACTTGATAACTTCAAGTGAGCTAATAAGATCTTGTAATCCTCGGACAAATACTTATGAGGACCAAGAACATCATTCAGGCCTTTCTGTAGCAAGGCTAAGCTGCTCTCCTTCCCAGAGCTGAAACCAGTAAGATATTTCTGACATGCTGGGTTAGAAACTCTAATGACCAGCTGCTGGTGGCACACGTGACTGAAGCTGGTGGCACAGGCTTAAATGAATCATGATAAGGTCTACTGGGCAAAAGAGGGGGATGGTCTGGTTGAAGTGTTCCAGGTAGCCCACATACCTGTGCTGGCTGCAATAACTCTGAGCTGGAGCAGGTCTCGATGCACAGGTGTAAGAAGATAGTCAGGATGTGGTGAAGTGACTCTGCTGATATATCCATATCAGCTGTCGCTGACCAAACATAACCAGCGGAGGTTTTGAATTTGCAGCTTTGAATTGTGTCCCCTTTGTTTCCCCAACTGTACAAAAGCAATGAGACATTTGTACTCTGTGTGTTTCCCTCAGGTAGTGGAGGACTGCTACAACATCCTGAAGGAGTACGGCTTCCGCTTCGTGAGGAGAGGGCCCATCTTCGTGAAGGGGAAAGGAGAGCTGCTCACTTATTTTCTGAAGGGAAGAGACAAACAAGGCTCATTTATCAATGGCTCCTCTGTCACTCTGCCACATCAGGTGGTGGATAGTTGAGGACTTATCTCTGTCTGTCGCACTCATGCACTCATCAGTCACAGGCTGTGTGAAGAGTCGTGCAGGGGAAAGAAGTGAATTGATTTAAAGTCCTGGGAAACCTGAAACTATAACTGAACCGAAGCCTAATTCATTTACAAACTCCATAAACATGAACTGATGTATTCTCTGTCTGTACAGAAAGATGTACAGATGCCAGAAGAGTCTGATTTCAGTTTAGCAGATTATATTTAAATCAAGATGTTTGAATAAATTGAGATTAGAAGCTGAGGGCACCAAACAGATGGGAGATTAAAGGGAAGCCTGATTCTTTGACTGTGACACTGAGGGGACTGATCTATGATGCTGTCAAGCTTTGAAATTCTCACTTCTTAAATAAGGAGTTACATGTAAATTCATAATACTGGGTTAAACAGGTTAAACAGCTGTACGGTGTAAAACTCTTACTTTGGACAGATACTGCAGATTATCTTCTTTTTGTCCTCGTGTCACCCTTCCTGAAACCATAGGCACAGAAACATTTACCCAAAGGAAACTTTAGTGTAATGAAACACCCAGTAACTGCTTTACACAGCAGACGGGTCACATCTGTGCAGATATGTTTTATAAACCACTCCGTTTGATGACAAATGCACCTGTAGCTTAAAATGAATCCAGGTACTGAATATACAGATAGTATTACAGTGTTACCTCAGACACACAGCTAATACTACTGACGTGATTTCTCTGCATCCTTAGATTTGATCCCAACTCTGCCAACGAGAGCTCAAACTGGCCCATTAACATCCTGGGTGGCTGCAGCTCAGGAGGTAGAGCAGGTCCTCTACTAATCACGAGGTTCACAGTTTGCTCCCTGCCTGCTGTAATCTTCATTGGGCAAGATGCTAACCCCAAATTGCTCTCCAGTGCATCCATTGGCATGTGAACATTAAATAAAAAGCACATAAGCATAAAAAGCGTGCTGGAGCATATAAAACGAGTCCCTTTACCATCCTGCACAGCTTTCACTCCTGGATCAGACCCTGAAGTTCTCCCTGCTGCTACCTGCTGTTGAATCATAGTTTCTTTGTTTCCTTATTTAGAAACATCAGGACCTGTCTCTGCTTCAGCACTTAAACCGATGCATTTAAGAAGCACTCCCCTTTAGCAAACCATGTGTAAATGTTCGACACGTGCAAAGGAAGTGTTGCTTTTGTTACAGAAGAGATTGTTAGCTTTGGCTTGTACAGTCCAAGCAAACGTTTAAACATTTCTCTCTCTGTCTTTCTCACACTAATCTCTCCTCTGGAGCAATAAAAATGTATTTTAGGCATAAACTTTAATTTCACTGCAAGAGGTGAGTCAGTAAGATCATTAACTCAATTCAGTTTTATTTACACAGCGCCAAATCACAACAACAGTCTCCTTAAGGCGCTTTATATTTTAAGGTAGACTCTACGAGAAAAACCCAACAATCATATGACCCCCTATGAGCAGCACTTTGGCGACAGTGGGAAGGAAAAACTCCCTTTTAACAGGAAGAAACCTCCAGCAGAACCAGGCTCAGGGAGGGGCGGGGCCATCTGCTGTGATTGGTTGGGGTGAGAGAAGGAAGACAGGATAAAGACATGCTGTGGAAGAGAGACAGAGGTTAATAACAGATATGATTGAGTGCAGAGAGGTCTGTTAACACAAGAACTTGTATGTAAGGAGCAGAATTCTGAATTCAGTTCTGGATTTAACAGGAAGCCCATGAAGGAGAAATCTGCTCCTTCTCAGCACAGACGAGACACACAGTGGCCTCACAGCCTGATAGTCTGACTGCGTTCGATTAGACTTGATCTGTGGCTGTTACTGGGACAGACGTGGTAGTGCAGTAGTGACATGAGGCAGATGCTGTGTGACTGATGGAAATGAGTGCGTGCTTGAAGGAAGCTCTTGACTTAAGCAAAACATTTTAAATAAATGATCCTGATTGTAAAGACAGGCGGGAGACAAAAACATGTGGACTAGTTGGGAATGAACCAGACACTGAGACTGTGTGGAGGCCATCAGAGTAGCATCGGCTCAATGTCGTTTTGCTCAGATTGACCAAATCTTTGGCTTCTGTTAACCAGATTAGTTCTTTGAATTCAGCATTTCAATATGAGAAACACACTGATGGCTGCATCTCTTTCATAAATTTATCTCTGATTTCTTTTCAAAACAGTGGAGATTTCTCTTTTGTGCGCTCACAATCCTCTTTAGTAACTAACCAGTTTTGACACCATCTCCTCATCATATGGACACATGTTTGCATAGCGTGTATATTGGAGTTCATCCTCAGTTACTAAAAGCCTGACAGCCTTCACTAGTCCTGCCTCTGAGGAGTCAGCTTCAACCAGTGAGGGACGGCAGTGTGATCATACAGACTCGTTAGCTGCTCGTCTGCAGTGGTGGGAGAAGCGTGTGCAACATCGAGTGTATGTTTCTCCTTGATCCTGAAACGGGACACATCTCTCAGCTCTGCTCTCAGCCGCTCCGCTGGCTTCTGTGTCTTGAAGCTGTGTCAGATGGATAGCAGAGGTATTTTTGAAGTGGGCGGACAAGCTGTGGATAAGTGCACCTGACAGCTGGGACGTGTTAAAATGGCAGAATTCATTTTTGCAGTAGAAGCGAGCTTCTCCTATTTGTTCCCCTCCACTGTGAACGTCTGTTTTCACTTTATTTTGGTGGTTCTGCTGAGACGATTTCTTTGTCTTACTGCTTCCAAAAATCCTGTTGACATGAAAATTGGCCCCGAACCCTAACAGCTCCATTTGTATTAGTGCACCAGTCCTGCTCTCTTCTTGTGAACATACCTCCACTTGGGGCAGCCAGTGTCTCCCAAACCAGAGTGGCCATCCCAGTACAAGCTGGAGGTCATGATGAAACCAACAGAACTGCATCATCTGGGAAAAGCAGAGATGAGACAAACCCCGAGGTTTGCCTAACCAGCAGACTCTTCTCTTCAGTACCTTTGCACCCCTCACTGTCACTGGCCATGTCCCTACTGATGATGCACAACGAGACAGCGAGTCCCGATGTGTAGCACTTTCCCCGCCCTGCCCCACGACTCCAAACAGCATAGTTATTCTGAACAGCTGTTTGGGGTTTGAACCTGTTTGCCCGTCTGATGGAGCACTGAGGAAAACTAATATACAGGCTTCATGCTTGTGGGGACACAAGTAAACCTTATCTGTCCCTTTCTTCTTCATGAAACTGGTCCCACAACCTGAGCTGTACATGTGTCTCTCGCTCTGGCTCCTTCCCCAGCAAACAGATGACATTCAGCATCACCTGGAGCCAGTTTAAGCAGCCAGTGATTGGATCACCGTGATCTCTGTCTTCAGTTACCCAACAGACGTATCCAGGAGAGAAAATGGGACCAGCAGTGAGATCTGTACTTCCTGCCCTTCCTGTACTTGTGCCCATAGTTATGTGTGCTGTCATTAGCTTTATTATTATAGCTTCAGTTTAGCTTCAGTCTCCTAATGAGATGTTTTTGCTTGTCCAGAGAAACGTGTGAAAATGCAAATGATTGCACTGTAGCTCAGTTCCTCTGGGTGAATGCAACTCTTAGTTAAGCTGGTATCGTACTGCAACTGAGAGAAGCAACATCACCCAAGCCAAGGACAGCTGCAGCTGACCAAGTCTCACAGTCCACTGAATCAGCTGCTCCCTGAACCACCTGCACAGGTGACACGAGTTCTTTGACCTTTCAGACCCAGTTTTGGGTGTTTTAGGAAGTAGGAAACAACAACTCTGTATAAGTGCGATGTACACGATGGCCTTGACATAACAGCAGCAGCTCGTTCCTCTGTTTATTGTTACTGTGTGTAAAAAGGGAAGAAAGTGCAATAGTTTGTTCTTCTGCACAGCAGATGCTCTTCTCTCTAATGAGAACTTTCAGTCATTCCTTCCCCTTTAAGTCACATTTTCATAATGTGATCTTTTTTCTTTCCTTTGTAAAAACGAAGAGGATGTATTCTTGTTGTATATAGAGTTTACACAGTGTTTACTGGTTAAATGTATTTATTGGAAATGACAGGGATGCTTTTTTCCTCCACACATGTGAAAGTGCCAATGATGAAAAATGGCTTTAGATATGAACGCCGAAACATGGAATACGGCTGTTTTCTGGATTTTACTTTTAAGAATCTCAGGATTGGGAACAAACTAGCACTTTCAACGATGTATGAGCTCAGACTATGAATCCATGTTTTAGGTGCAACTGTGTGGGTTTTTTCTAAGCTGAACACAAACACACTCCGGCTGTTGGTATTAGAAATAAAGAACAAGTCGCCTCCTGTGGTTCTTGTTACTGCGCTGATTTTGATTCTTTTTCACGCCTTCCCAATCTTTGTTTTGTTAAATCCTTTCTTATTTAATGTGCCCTCTTTCCTTTGAGTTGTTGGTTATCACTTACTGATTAAAGAATTATACTGATAAATCTCAGTGTCGTGATTACTGCACAGCCATGAGACAACTGATTTGCAGTGTTGGGTAAGTTACTTTAAAATAGTAACTTAGTTACATTACTAGTTACTTCCATCAAAAGTAACTCAGTTACTTGAAGTTACTCGTTACTTTCAAAGTAACTAGTTACTAGGGAAAGTAACTTTGGTTTTACTCAGAATTCTCTTGTTAATGTGTTGCTTCCATAACTTTGCCAGTCTTCCAGCTTGCTTACTTGCCACAAGTGCACTGTGCCACCGACCAATAGAAAGGAAAAGATAATGTGCATGTTTCCACGAGAGAAATCCCACGCCTGGACCGTCGTTGACCGCTGCCATGATGACCAACCTTATGAACAAAATAAAGTTCAACATCAGTAACATCATAGCACTCATCCAGCTGTATAGAAACTCCGTCATGCTAGCTAGCACGCAGTACAAAAAAGTCAGCATAAGAAAAATAAACTCCACCTAAACTTGGTTTATATGTGACCCAGACAGACTGCAGGTCATAACTTCTTACCTGAAGTTCAGTTCACCTGACACTCGGACCGGCGGCCGCTTCAGGTCTCTCCTCTTGCCTCCACTTTTCCTTCATCCACCTGCTGGCCTCCACCACTTGCTAATGTTATTGAATCTGTGGAAGCTCTGCGATGCCACCACGAAGTAACGAATAACGAGCCTACCTAAATCCCAGTAACGAGTAACGCGTTCCTGATTTTGGCATAATAACTAGTTACCGTGCTCGTTACCACAATAATAACGTAGTTACTGTAACACGTTACTTAATAACGCGTTAGTCCCAACACTGCTGATTTGTGATTTACTCAAAATCTGGAAAGTGACTTCGTTCAGACAGTGATGATTAATTAATGAGTCAAAGTAATCAGCAAACAGGCTAAGAAAACATTCAGGTTAAAAAACTAGGAGCATGTTTGAACCACACAGACATGCAGTGGGACTGCAGATGTGCACAGAGATTAAACTCCATGTTTGTTATGATACAGCTGTGAGTGTGAGTGTAGAAGTTTGTCATAGATTTAAAAAAGACTCATTAAATGAGGCACAACTGTATCTGACTTCGATGTGTTCTCTTCAGTGATCCACGCGTGTCAGTAGAGCCTAAATTATCACGTCACTGTTAAACAGAACGCTGGGAGATGTGAAGGTCGCGCCCAGGCGGGGAAACAGCGACGCCTAACGGTGACGCACAGCAAACGAGAAGGACGTGAAGGAATTTCCGCTGACGTCACCGCGTATATCAGGGCTGCAGCTGTCTGAGAGCAACAATAACAAGCGCTACTCCGCAGCCTGGACGCAGCTTTAACTGCACTGACAGCAACAATTACCGTCGAAATTCTCAAAATGCAGCTTTTGAGTTAACTCTGCAGTTTGTGTCTTTGTCCTCCGAGCTGAACACCGGCTGTCGTTCACGCTGACGCCGCCGAACACAGACTCGGGCGCAGGGGAAGCTTTAATTTGCGGCTGCATCTGGGTCAGTGGGCCCGACGTTCACCGCACCAGAGGTTTGGTTATCCCCGTGGACCTGTCAGCTGTTCGTACACGCACCATATCGCCGTTATAAACCGTGGCAACATGGAGGCTAACGGTGGAGGACAGGATCGGGATTCCGAGCTCTCCTGTCGAAACGGTACTCAGAATGGTGAGTCGTCCTCCACCGTGGCCGCTCACTCCAACGGACTTATCTCGGTAACTAACAATGGCAACGCTGTCAGCAACAACAACGGTGTGGCAGCCCAGCCCGCCTCCAACAACAACAACAACAGCAGCGGCGCGGCGGATGGCGGGTCGGGCGTCAAGAAGAAGAAGCGCCTGTCTCAGTCTGAGGAGGATGTCATCCGGCTCATAGGACAACATCTGAACGATTTAGGTCTCAAGTAAGTGAGCCAGCTCAGGTAGCTAGTGTTGTTATCATCATCAGCCGCGGGGATGGCAGGTCACCGGGAAGATGCTGAGGATGCATCCTTCCGCACTCGGTTATCTGCAGAGCGACAGATGAGCAGGCCCGCTCAGGGCAAAGTGTCACATAATAAACTATATCCCACACAGCGATGCGGTATCCATGTATCACCACACGCTGCAAATCTTCTATGTGGTGTTTTCAGCAAATCTCCAACCATGAACCGTCAGAATAAGAAGACCTCACACTGTGTCCAACGATCGCACAACTTAAATATGAAAATCCTGCACAGATGTCATATAGGTGGCTAAACGTTTTGTTTACATGTAGTAACAGTGAGGACTCTGATAAGTGACACATCTCTGCATTTTAATGCTTGTTACATTTTTATATGAAGGATGGACCTTCATCTTATTATAGTCCAGCTTTTTATTCCACACATGACACAACTTTGCAGTCAGTGTGTTGATGATTCTCACAGTGAGTGCTGATGCTTCGCCATGCTCAGGAGTCATAACATGATGTTTCTTTTCCCTGTTCACAGTCAGACGGTGGACCTCCTGATGCAGGAGTCTGGCTGCAGGCTGGAACAACCCTCTGCCACCAAGTTTCGCAATCACGTCATTGAAGGAGAGTGGGACAAGGTGCAACCGAGTTCTCTGAACTGCATATTACACCTTTAGGAGGCTGTTACAGTCATCGTGGTAGTAAAGGTTTGCTTGTCTGTTAATGAGTGTGTATTTCTCCACATAGGCTGAGAGTGATCTGAATGAGCTGAAGGCACTGATGCATTCTCCCAGTGCTATAGTGGTGAGTGGACCGCCTCACAAACCTCAGACAGCATCAGTTCACCATGAAGTCTGAACACTGAGCCAGAATCAGAAGGACTTAATAAAGCCGCTTTCATCGAGCACACACTGGACATTGATGGCATATCACATAGGTGCACTTATAAACAGAACTGCAACCATCACACCTTCTATGCTTTTCTAAAGTAAACGTGGCTGCAGCGAGTTTGGCTAGCTAGGTTTGCTTACAGACAGACGAATGGTGCACCGCTAATCTTACTGAACACCCAAAAACTTTAGTCTAGACGACACATTTTATTTTGTCTGCACACGTCAGCAATGATCATGGGTTTGTTTTGGGTTTGTTTACTGCATCCACTGAGATTAGAGCAGTTTGAGATGAAATGCTAACTTTTATTTTATAATAAACAAAAGGAGTTCTTCCAAAGGAGTGCTAACTAAACGCTACGTGCTAACTAAACCAAATGAAAAACAACCGCGACCTTTAACCTTTTAATTTAATAAACAAGAAACTAGAAAAATCAATGACCCCTGCTTCAGTGCTGTTTACAAAGACCATTAACATTACTGTACACCAAACTCTTACAGGCACAGATCATACAAACACAGACCAGCTAACCTGACACACACTGCTACAAAATACAGCCACTGTTGTGACAGTCAGCCAACACCCAAACGTACGAGACCAGGAGCCTCAAACATTCGCCTGGTCGACTGCACGTCTTTGGACAATCTGCACATTTCTGACTCTAAACTGTGTTTGAATGTTTTTCAGAGCTCCCACATGTCCACTCATTCCACACCACAGTGATTAAGTAACAGATGAACAGTTAAATTATCAACACTAGAAATCTGTTTGTTTTTACACCATGACTGTAAACAATAACAAAAGAAAAATCTATAAATAAACAGATAAATAAAACATGTCTGTGAATGAACACAAAGCTAGTTTTCTAATCACATTAGGTCAATCAATTAAATGTGTAGTTAAACTACTTTACAGTTACGTTCACTCGTCCACGTGAGATCAAAGTAGTGTGACTGTATCACACTGACATGATGGACACAGCATGAACAGCCAATGTTAGTCTGGTTGGCAACTTGATGTTTAAAGTTCCTTTAAAATAGCCGGACGTGAGCAACAGATTTGTGTTATCACATGTCGGCTGATCCGTTATGTGTGTATGGTGATCATTTAAATCCTTGTTTTTGTTTTTGTTTTTGCTCCCGACAGCGGATGAAGTTCCTTCTCCTGCAGCAGAAATATCTGGAATATCTGGAGGACGGGAAGGTGCTGGAGGCCCTGCAGGTCCTCAGAGCCGAACTCACGCCGCTCAAATATAACACGGAGCGTATCCACATCCTGAGCGGGTCAGTCCACCAGCACACGCAGAAGCTGAGTGTGGTTCTGATGGAGAAATATAGCGTGCTGGTATTTGCGTCACAATGATGGATGACAGATGTGTCGTTTGTTACGATGCCTTGAAAACATTTCTAGATGCTGGCAGCTGTAAAGATGCTGAGATGCATGAAAATGCAAACAGGAAGTAGCCTTACAATAAAACGTCCATCTATGCAAGTGCTCCCTGTAAAGCTGCCGTGGGTGTCTCTGATAGTAACTGGCTTTGTGTTTGCAGGTACCTGATGTGCAGTCATGCAGAGGATCTGCGAGCCAAAGCTGAGTGGGAGGGCAAAGGCACAGCATCGCGAACCAAACTGCTGGACAAACTCCAGAGTGAGTCTGACTCACACGGTCACATGTCAGTGTGTGTAACTCCTATACCCACTCTGAAATTCTCTTACTGGTTCCCAGTTATTTCCTGACCAGTTATTATTCATCCCTGGAAGGAACAGCAACATATTCTGGATATAATATTTCAAATGAGTAATAACAATCTTTGTATGCAGGTGTGATCACCTGACATAAATTTGGCTGATCTTACATCAAAGATGCACAACAGTCGCCTCAAGGTGCTTCATATTGTAAGGTAGACCCTACAGTCACATGACCCCCTGTGAGCAAGC